TAGACGAAGCTTCTGAATACAGACGAAGCTTCTGAATACAGACGAAGCTTCTGACTCTAAATTAAATATTTCACAGTATGAGACCAATTTATTGTTGAGAGACCGCTGGACTAGAGGACCACTGTGTGTGTGTGTGTGTGTGTTAGAACCGGTGTGATGAGGATGACCAGGTGACTTCAGCTAAAAGCTCAGGGGTGGGGGAGGGGCGGGGCGGTGGGGGAGGGGCGGGGCGGGGGGGGGGGTTCAGCCTTTCTTCGCCTCCAGGGTTTTGTGCAGCAGGTCGGCGTCCTCGGCGGTCTTGACCCGGATCAGAAGGGGGACGGGGCTGCCGGGGTTCTTGTCGTCGACAGCCGGGTTCGGGACACAGACCACCATCACGTTGTTCTTGCCGACCCGAGTGCACGGCATGGACGCCTGCAGCAGGATGTTCAGCAGGATGTTCCCTTCAAAATAAAAGGTCAGTGTGATTATTCTGGAACATCGGTCGTCTTCAGTTTAACTGAAACTTTTAAAGTTCAGGCTGCAACTAAACAATATTTATATAATTTATTAATCTGCTGATCATTTCTTTAATTAATCGATTATAAAAAAAATAATTTTTTCAGGTCAGAGGGAACCGTTTAAATCTGCTTTAATCCAAAATTAAATTTCTTATTTTAAATGATTTGTGTAGATTGTTTTGAGGCCCAGTGGGATGAGCCAAAATAACTCTAAATTAATATGCCATTAAATGTACCATAAATACAAAATATGTAGCCCTTCATTAATTGATAAAAATGTGACATTTATATTTCTGTTTTAATTTGCTTCTTTATTAATTTTAATAGTTAAGAGTTATTATTAGGAACCAATCTGAACACTGGTTACTTCTTTATTATTTATGACAAAGAAGTAAAAAGTGGTCGTCTCTTTAATTGAACCGTTAAAACGTCAGAAACTCATCAAACTTCAGTCCAAACGACATCTTTGGAGTTAACTGAAGCAGCAGTTCTGGTGTTTGACCAGCAGGTGGAGCCGTTTGATCGCCGCTGATGGTTGAGTATTTTATGTATTTATTAGATTCATTATCTTCAGGTTTGTGATTGAAAAAACAGACTTAGTTTAAATCTAATAACCGTTCTGGAGCAGAAAGAGGAAAAGAAAGTACTGAATAGACCTGGAGAGGAGGGGGGAAGATACTAACAAAGGGGGCATGGAGGACGGACGTACATTTGTACCCAGGTCGGTGTAGTTAGTGTACATTTGTACCCAGGTCGGTGTAGTTAGTGTACATTTGTACCCAGGTCGGTGTAGTTAGTGTACATTTGTACCCAGGTCGGTGTAGTTTGTGTACATTTGTACCCAGGTCGGTGTACATTTGTACCCAGGTCGGTGTACTTTGTGTACATTTGTACCCAGGTCGGTGTAGTTTGTGTACATTTGTACCCAGGTCGGTGTAGTTTGTGTACATTTGTACCCAGGTCGGTGTAGTTTGTGTATATTTGTACCCAGGTTGGTGTCGGCTCTGATGATCATCTGAACTTTGCCCTCGGTCTGTTTGAGGTGAAGCGTTCCGACTCCTTTCTCTTTGAACTCTGAGTCCTTCTTGTAGAACAGTTTACACCTGAAACACAATGTGAGGAAGATGAAGATCAAAGATCTTCTTCATCGAGGGTTAAGATGACATCACAGCGACGGCTAAAAGCTCATGTTTTTATAATGGGGTCTGGTGAAACAAAAGTCAGTTTGTTTACTAATATATCAAATGTTAAGCCTGATTTTAACATGGTATCTATCGTCATCTTAGACGTTAGATACTTGTACTCATCCTACTTTGTATTACACTTCCACACAGAAGTTTCCCTCAAATACAAATACTTTGAAAACATAAAGTCCTGTTACTCTCCGATTCCTCTAATGATGTCACGCATCTCATTAAAGTTAAACAGACTTTGAGGAGTTTGTTTTTAATAATATTTCATACATTAATATTTAGACGTACTTCTTGGAGTAGAAGGCGTCGTCCTCTTTCACCTCTTTGATCTCCGGTTTGGGCGGCTCCTCCGACTCTTCTTCTCCGTTCTCGTCTACAAATAACATTTTATTAATAATTTCACATTTTAAACAATAAAACATCAGATTCTTTGGAGTTGTGTGACATCGATCGAGTAATAATAGTTTAATTTAAAGACTCGTAGATATCATATTTAATATTTACCTGGAGGCCGAGCGTCCCCGGACTTAAAGGACGGCGGTGCAGCGGTGGAGGAGGATCCGAACAGGGAGGAGGAGGAGGCGCTGGAGGAGGAGAAGGAGAAGCTCGGGGGGGTTGTTTTGGCCCCTAAGGAGCCGAGGACGGAGCCGTCCACCTTCTGACCGAAGTTAAACGTGACGCCGGGGCTTTTGGACGAGTCTTCTGTCAGAGTTTTGCCGAAGGAGAACGAGGACAATGATGATGATGAGGAGGAAGGAGCAACAGCAGGAGGAGCGGTGGTGGTCGTGGTCGGAGGCTTCTTCTTCTTCTCCTCGTCTCCGGCTCCGTACTGCCGCTCGATGCTGGCCAGGTGCTGCTCGTAGTCCTTGAAGATGGGGTTCAGGTCACACAGAGGGTTCCCGTTGACGTGTTTGGTGATCCAGTCTCTCACCGAGCAGTTCAGAGCCGTCAGCTGACGGCTGTACTCCTTGTTGTTGGTGGAGCTTTGAGTCGAGCTCGGGCTGGAGCCATTGGTCTGCTGGAGCATGATGTCAGAGGAGGCGGGGCCATTGAACGTCAGACCTGAGGACAACATGAAATATGAGAGAGAGAGAGAGAGAGAGAGAGAGAGAGAGAGAGAGAGAGAGAG